AATAGAAATAAAGCTTTACTAAATTTATAAACGATTTAGCTATTTATCTATTAAGAAACTATAGAATCTACTCTAAAGAGTAAATTATAATATTAATTAGGATACTTTAGAGCTAATAGATTACTTCTATTATTATTATTAGATTAAAAGGAGATCTCTATAATACTTTAAGTTTACTTTAAAGTTAAATATTAACTTTAATTATAAGATTTTAATTAATATTATATACTTAAATAGAAAACTTATCCTCTATATAATTAATACGAGTATAGGATTTTAATTTATAATTTCTATTTTTAATTTTATAACTTAAGTAATATAAGAAGCCTTTAAAAGGTATTAATTAAATATATACCTTAGCCCTCTAAATATTATAACTATTAATACTAAAACGAACTTTACTTCTATAGAATTTAAAGTAAAAGTATACCTTCTAAGTATAACTTATTATTAAATCTTAATAGAGGTTTATTAGTTAATTAGTAAAGTTAAGAGCTATTATAAACTAATTCGTAAAGTATATAAGATCCTAAAAATAGAATCTTATAATATAAGCCTAGAATTACTACTTTAAGGAGTAGTAAAGGTAGTAAACGATATTATTAAGCTTAATAGATTAATATTAATATTACTCGTATTTAGAGCTATATTTAGGATTATTAATAATTTAATATTAATTATAATTTAAGTATAATATATAGGAATAATTAATAAAGTAATAATAAAGCTTTAGTAAATAATTATTAAATAGAAGATTAATAATACTTTTAATACCTATAATAGACTAAATACTAAATAGTTACTATTAAGATTATTAAAGCTAGGAAGTAACGTCTTAGTATTCTAAGAGTAGGAGAAATAGACTAATCTATATAAAATTATATTAATATTTAATATAATAATTATAATTAATATAATTAATAGTTTAATAGAATTTAAAGGAATATACGTTAAATTATATAATAGATTATTAGATTAATAAACTAAGGATATAATAATAGTCCGATCTTTAAAGACCTTAGAACTATTTAAGTACTTAGAGCTAATTCTATTATAATAATATAAAAGACTTAGAAAGTTAGTAAATACTATAAATCTAATATAAGCTACGTTTATAGATCGCTAAAGTAATATAATTAAGATTTTACGGATCGAGTATTAATTTATTATTAAAAGAGAGTAATAAAGCTATAAACTAATTATTAAATTATAAAATAAAAGTAGAATAATAATACTTAGGAGGCTATTTAAATAATCTAATTAAGAGGAAATCGATTTACTTTTTATAATTAAAGTAATTATATTAATTAAGAGATTAGTATTTCCTAATATTAAGATCTTTAGATATTAACTTATAAAAAAAGTAAAAGGCCTCCTTTAAGCTTTATATAAAAAGTTAAAACTAGTAATTTAAAGGTATAGGGATTAAGAGAAGATAACCTTTTTAATATAATCGTTTACGATTATATACTATAGTTAACGATTAATCCTAGTAATTACCTTAATACTATAATAACGTAATTACTAATTAATATTCTATAATATTAATTAAGCTTATACTTAGAGAGTTATAGATCTATAATATAATATTCTTTTATATATTCCTAAGGAGATATAATATAGATACTTTAAAGGAACTATTTTCTATATTATAAAGCTTTTTTATAGGATTATAGAGTTAAGCCTTTATTAGTTTATAATTTATTAATAATATTATAAAGAGTATTTAAATATTATTCTAATAGGCTATAATCTATATCTCTTATTAATAAAAACTAAAGAGAGCTTTAGATTAATTAGGATATAGATTAATAATACCCTAAACCTTAGAGAGCTTACGTTTATAGAAAAAGAATAAAAAGAGCTCTAGAGAGCTAGCTTCTACGTAAAGCTTACTTTTATCCTAAATATAGGATTAAAAGGGGTATTTAATAGCTATATTATTAAAATCGGAACTAATAATCTTATAATTTTATAGAAAAGCTAGATTAATCGCTTAGAGTAAATAACCCTAGGGATAGAAGATTTAGAGTAATAATTTATCGCTTAGAGAGCTCGAGGCGTATATATAGCTTTTATTTATTAACCGGAAATAGCCTTCGACTTTACTATAACCTCTTAAACTAAGAACTTAAAAAGGGACGATTTTAAAAGGCTTAATAAATATATATAATAGTAGATCGATAATATAAACTATAACTTAAATTATATATACCTCGATCTATTAATAGCTTAATTATATATATTTATTAATAGCTTTTTTATAAATAATAAAGACTTTAGTTTATAAATCGGATTTATTATCTTTCTTAATAATAAACGTTTTTATAATTAAGAGAACGCTTTTATAGTATATAGTAATATCTTTTATTAATAATTTATTAAATATAAATAAGTTATATATTTAGTTCTAATTAGCGAAATTTATAAAATAATTAATAGTTTTAATATAGTTTATATCTTTAAATAAATACTCTATAAGATCTATAAATACTTAGAATTATTACTTTTATAAATAGTTATTTATATTAATAGTTATTCGCTTTATTAATACTTAATTTAACTAAGCGTAATAGTAAAGAAATATTTAATAATAGATTTTATAGTATTATAGTAAAACTATAAAGAACGTAAAGTTAATAAAATCTATTAAATAGTAAAAAGAGATAACCCTATAGTTTTAATAATTAAAGGAGCTTTAAATTAAATATTAAAAATATTAATAAACTCTAATAAAGTTATAATTAAGATTAAAAGATAGATTAAATATTAAGAAAAGAATAATTAAAAAGTAAAAATAATTAATATTAATAATAATTAACTATACTTTAAAAATAATTATTCTATAAATAATAAAATAGTAAAGTAAAAGCTTAATAAGACGATTAAGCTTTAAAATCTAAGGACTCTAAGTTTAATTATTTTAGTAAGTCCTATTAGAAGTAATTAAAGAGCTATAGAGCTATAGCCCGCTTAGCTATTTTACGTTTAATATTACTAAGATTATCTAAATCTCTATTAAAATTATTACTTTTTATAGCCTCCTCCTCTTTAGTAATTATTAATATATTTTTAATAATAATATACTATTTCTCTATATTTTATATCCCCTATTAATTAATCGTATAATTAAAGAATTAAGGAAAAGAAAAAGGAAAAGAACTTATAAATTTATTATTTTTATCTTAAATAATTAAAAACTTTATAATAAGCTTAAATACTTTAATTAAATTAAATATAATAATCGTTAAAGCTATAAATATTAGAAATAAAGATTATAGAAACTTATATTAATTTATAAGAGTACTTAGAGGTATATTTATAATAATAAAAACTTTTAAGCTCTAAATTATAATATATATTATTAATATTAGTTTTAGTTTATTTATTAATAAAATAAGACTTTAAGTACTTTAAATAAAGGACTTTTCGAATTTTAATATATATATATATTATATCCTAGATTAATAGCTTTTATAATTAGTACTAACTAAGTTCTTATACTTCGCTACTCTTTTAATAGGAGGGGTAATAAGTATAGGGGCTTTATACTTAAGTAGTATTATCGAGGCTAAAGAGAGAGAAAAAAAGAGAGAGAGAGAATAATAAAAATAGGGATTTACTAATTATTAAAGCTCTTAGATAATAGATTAAGTTAATTAATCTTAAAAATAGAAAATCATTATAAAGAAAAGGAGAGGTAAAAGGAATAAAATCGTAAAATCTTATTAATTAGATATCTAGACTTATAGAGTATAGTATTTACTAGATTAATTAAATAAAATCTATTAATTCTATTTAAGTAATTTAATTCTATTATTCTCTTTTAAAGGTAATATAATTTAATTATTCTATAGAAAATTAATAAAAAAAGTAATTATAATAATATATTTACTTTCTATTAATAAATTAATAATTTAAAAGTATTAAGAATATATATTTAGTTATTCTAAAAACGCTATTTAAGTACTTATTACGTTATAAGAGTATTATTTATTTCCTTTATTAAAAAGCTTTAATTATTTATTCTTATTATTTAAATTATAATTTAATTTATTTCCTTTAAAAGCTATTTATAAATAATTCTATTACTCTAAGGTATTAGAGATTAAGAGCTTAACCTTATATAAATAAAGAGATTAAGCTATAGTTTTTCGTTATTTATATCTATTATTCTCCTATTATTAAATATTAACGTTAAATAGGAAAGGTAAATCTAATACGCTAAAGACTAAGGACTAGAAGTACGCGGGAATACTTATTAGCTTTAGTAATAGCTCTTAATATTAGTTCTTATAGCTATTCTATCTATAAAGAAAAGAGAGCTAATATTAAATTAATATTAAGGAATTCCCTAAAGTAGTAATCCCGATAGGGGATTACTAATATAGTAATTACCGGAGCTATAGATTTATAGCTCCTAGGAGTACGTAAATTATAGCTTACGTAATTAATAAATTAGATAGGTATATTTAATTTACGTAGGTAGTAATAATTTAAGGATAGAGCGAGATATTATAAGATATATATTACTTACTCTATATATTTAGAGCTCTTAGGTATAGCTAAAGTAATAAATTAGGGTTTATATAAGTAGTAAAGCCCTCTTAATATTCTTATTATATAGTTATAGTTAGGTAGCCTACTTACTTATCTAGCCTACTTATATATTATATATATTATATTATAGGAATAATTATTAGAAAGGTTAATAGATTAAGAGTTAGAGGAAGGTATTAACTATCCCTTTTTCCTAGAGACTATTAAGAAATTATTAATAAGTCCCTTTACTTATTATATAAGACTCCTAAATATCAGCAGCGCCTATGAGTCTCTATAATCCTTTCAGTAGTTATATCACCTAGTAACGATACTTCTCCCCTTCTTAGTGAGGCAATTAGATATATTGGCCGGGCTATCGGTGCTCAGGAAGAAGCCGGCTGCTGGTCCCTCGGCCCTTTGATCATCCAATCCATCCTCTTCCTCGTCGGCCCCGCCTCATGGCTGCCTCTGTCTACATGATCCTCGGCCGCATTATCGTCCTTGCCGAGGGCGAGACCTACTCCCCCAACCGCCCCCTCTGGCTCACCAAGATCTTTGTCGTCGGCGACGTCCTCTCCCTCCTGGCGCAGGCCCAGGGCGCGGCCTCATCGCCGAAGCCGACCTGTGCGTGCTGTACGACGCGAGCGCCGGAATCTGGGCCCGCAGTCTGTTCAAGGTCATCTAGTACCCCGACGGCAACGACGGGTTTCTGATCATGTGTCAAAGCGCGGTTTAGAGCAGAGTGAAGGGGCCTTCCACAGGGTCCGCAGGTAGTTAGAATATAGGTATGGGGTCGTAATACATCTGAATTCTGGCCCTCCGCAGCCTATATATACGTTCTCTCGTGGCCCTTAGCCCCCTGACCAGCCCCCTTGCTTGGCGGCCCCCTGGCGGCTCCGCAGGGTGCCCTGACATCATGATAGCCACGAGGTCTGAATCTACCTCTTCGACGGCCTCCTCATGGTCGCTGCCCTGCTGTGGATGAACTTGTACCACCCGCCGAAATAGGACTGCTGCTGCGTGGCGACGCTACTGACGTCTCCAATGGGCTGGAGCTCGTTTACGTCAGGCTGCCGTACAAGTTGCCGGTCTTCAGCAGCCGCAAGCCATCGGGTGAGAGGTTGTGGTCGTAGCCGCGGGGGGAGTAAGAGTCTACTAGGCTTTTCCCTAGTGTAATCTACAGTGAGTGACTTGAAAAAGGGATAGATAGACTTTCGTGGCAGGCCTGCTCTAGTCTTATATTCTCTGAGCTGATTAAGCGGCATTTCAAGGTGATCGCTGTTTCTTTCGTTTCTTTTGTCTCATCAACAGCTGGTTTTAATATTTATCATAGGTGTTGGCTGATGCTAGAAATTGATTTGGGTAGAGTTATAGGGTAGAGGTATAATTGTTACGAATTGTACGGTCTTGTATATGACTGCCTGCAATGGTGTGTTCATGGGGAATTTACGGGCACTTGACCGTCTGTTTTACAAAAGCTCAACCAGCTGGCTTCGAGGTTTACTTCCAGACGATGAATCTGGGGCTTCGCGACATCACCTGTCGAGGTCACACGGCTCACTGCTCCGTCACTGCTCTGTCAATGGCGGATATGATTATGAACTAATCTTGCAACACCGAGATGCATCCAGTTAGCGAGTAGCCGCGTTCACTGATCAGGACGCAATGTACTAGCAATGATGGGGTTCCCACGTCAAGAGATGGCCAGTCACGGGTGATGCCAGCCCTCGCAATCTTCCAAGTGCCCTTGCAGCCGCTGTTACAGCGGTACGACTACGCGGATCTTGCCGAAATCGCGGGTCCAGAGTGTCATCTCGGGGCATACATCAAGGTCATCATCGGATCAACAGGTTACTAAACTTCATCTCGTCTAAGACCAGCACCTACATCCTAAGCAAGGACAAATCCCCATGAGGAGGCGCCGCTACAACGCTGTTTCTCTCAGCGATCCTCCAATCCTCCCGCCCGTCAAAAATGCCCCTGACCAGCTTGTCGCGATAGATTCCCCAGTTGGTGACCAGCTTGCCCTTATCCTCGCCCACGCCGAAGATGTCGGCCCTGGAATACGTCGTGGCCTCGGCCGTGCCCTCGCCTGTGATCTCGATGATCTGCGTGCTCAGGGCGTGCAGCGTTTGGAGGTTGCCGACCATGCCTTGCACAGCCATCTTGAGCGCATCAATCCCTTCGATGGTGCCGCCGGAACCGGGGAAGGTTACCTTGGCGGTGTCGGTGAAGGCGCTGGAGAAGGTCGTCCAGTCGCGGAGGTCGACGCCGATGCAGTAGCGGGCGATGCAGCTGCGGATGAAGTCGTGGTCGGACGTAGTTGGGGCCATTGTGACCTGGGCCGGAGATGTAGAGCAAGAAATCGAATGCGATTAATCGAGTGTTGGAGATTTGAGATGAGGGGGAGCTTGCGCTTGATAAGTTTTGTCTCAGGGACTTGCCCTCAAGGTAGATAGAAAGCCACACGCGTCACTGGAGGGCAGTGTTCGAACCTGGACGTTGTAATCCAGGACTTATAGACAAATTGCGAAACTCTTTGCTGAGCGAAGAGTCCATCTGCGTGACGGATTGATCTTCGAAAGACCTCCCTGTAAGCAACTTGAATGTCTATTACGTGAGATGGAGCACTAGGTGGCTCGACGCAATGAATCCAAGTCATACGGCATCAGACATATTCAGACTTGACAAGGTGTTAGCCCGGCGAATCACCTTACAAACCAGACAATCGTTGCCTACAAGATTTGTCTCTCTGAAATCAAGTGTGCAAAAACCTTGTCGAGAGCTGAGTCCTCGGCAATGTACGAAGTATTTAGCGTCTTTGTCAACGCGAGTCAAAACTCCGAATGAAAATAGCAGCTTACAAATCTGGCCCGAGCACCCTAGCCCGTCTTTAGTCAAGCTTCAGACAAATAATTTGTGATGCGAGCAACGGGCCGAGCCTAACTGGGTATCATAAGCAACCCCAAACTCCGCCCCAAGTCGTAAAATACGGAGTGTTGTGTAAGGTGATTATCAACTAAACTCAACGGAACGCATCAAAGGTTGTTACATAAATGAAATCTCATCGGTACTGCGAAAGGGCGGCAACTGAACAAGAGCACACTCAAATTAGCAAAAACCGACAAAAACATCCACATCAACACCGACATTAACATCTGCTATACACTCATCTTGTCCCGGGCCTTAAACTCCTCAACTCAACATCATGCCCCACCCTTCGAAGAACACCCCCGTTGCTCTGGCCATCGGAACCCACACCTGGGTGCCAACCCCAGAGGATGAGGTCAGACAGGACGAGATCCTGGCCGTGTTGCGCAAGCACCATATCAACGTCCTTGACACCGCCAGGAGCTACGTAAACAAAAGTCATCCGTGTTTCTTGCGAAACTTACTGATGAATGATAAACTAGGGTAACGGTGCATCCGAGACGGCCCTCGGAAACAAGAAGCTCGCGCAAGAGTTCAAGGTCTACACCAAGGCCGCTACCGGCGTGATCGAGGGAACCGGCAAGAAGGACTTGATCCTTAACTTCGCCAACGAGAGTCTCAAGGCCCTGCAAGTCGACAAGGTACGCAATCCAACAAACAGTGCTAGCCACAAGTGCAAAACAATGCTCACCCCGTGCCCCAGATCCCGCTCTATCTCCTCCACGCCCCTGACGAGACAGTCCCCGTCAATGAGCAAATGGACGCCATCCAGACCCTCTACAAAGAAGGCAAGTTCGTCGCCTTCGGCCTCTCCAACTTCTCCAAGGACCAAGTCCTCGAGTACCACGCCTACGCTAAGGCCAACGGCTACGTCCTCCCCACCGTGTACCAGGGCAGCTACAGCATCGCCGTCCGCGGCAACGAGACCGCTCTCTTTCCCACCCTCCGCGAGCTGGGCTTCTCCATCCAGGCCTACTCCCCCATGGCTGCCGGCCTCCTCGCCAAGACCCCCGAGTACATCGAGCAAGGCAAGGGCAGCTGGGACCCGAGCACCCCGCTCGGCCAGGTGCTGCGCGACCTCTACTACAAGCCCTCGTACATGAAGATGCTAGAGCAGTTTGGGAAGCTCGCCGAGGGCCTCAACATAAGCAGGTCCTCGCTTTCGCACCGCTGGCTGCGGTACCACTCTGGCCTTGACGGGAGCCTAGGCGACGAACTGCTCATCGGGGCCGTTACCGCCGAGCAGCTGGAGGAGACCTTGCTGGAACTTGAGAAGGGGCCCCTGGAGTCGTGGGTTGTGGAGAGGATCGACGGTCTTTGGGACTTGATTAAGGCGGATGCCCCTATTGGCAACCTGGAGTCGATTCGCAAGGTCTTCCGGCCTCTTCTCAGCTAGACAACATTCCTGGAGTCGATTCGCAAGGTCTTCCGGCCTCTTCTCAGCTAGACAACATTACTGTTTTGTTGGTCATCTTTATAGATTGGGTAACAGAGGTTTACAATCAATATCGCTCGAAGAACAATCGCCATAGACAGTACAGACGTCGATCGTAAGGCCAAGTCTATGCATGAGTCTCTGTCCGTGAGCCGTTATCTGTAATCCATAATCTGTAACCGTAGCCGTATTCTAAACGTAGTCCGTTGACCTCGTCCTACGCAAAGTCGTGCTGCGCCGTCTCAACATTTTCATATCCATAACACCGTACCCGCGATGCCAAAACGCGGATCTGAAGGACCAAAGCAAAAGACAGGATCCCAGAAACAAATCAGGAATACCCGAACATCAAAACAGATAGCGTACAATCATACAAATTGTCAACACTCTCCTAACTTCACGCTTTCATCCTCTACTTGAGCCTATTTTTCCTTTCGGGCGCGGCACCAAATTACCACAGGCTCTCGCCCGCGCGCTGCGGCCTTTCAATTACCAGCCGAGTGAGCATCTCGTTGCAAGTGCGAGCATACAGGAATTGGAACACCTTCTCTTGCTTGACGTCGTGGTCTCTGTTGAGGAACGAGACGACGTCGGCGACCAAGATCCGGACCCTCACTGGACACAGCATGGGTGTCCGCTGCCTCAAGGTCTCCGGCAGCAAAGTCTTCTCCGGGTTGCTCGACTCGTCGATCAAGGTCTGGAACTGGGAGACGAGCTACTGCCTCCCCACATGACGACCCCACACCAGGGTGTGCTGGTCCTCGACTACGACGACGAGCTTCAGCTCCTCGTCAGCGGCAGCATGGTCCGCACAGTCAAGGTCTTCAATTGACAGCAGGAAGACCTTCAGCCTGCGCGGCCACACCGACTGGGTCAACGACCTCAACATCCACCGCAAGTCCAACACCATGTGGACCGCCTCGGACGACACCACCGTCTGCCTCTTCGACCTGCGCACGAAGAAGCGCATCAAGACGTCCAAGGGCCACGTCGGCCAGGTCCAGCAGGTCCTCCTCATGTCGGCCGACTTTGGCCCCAACGAGGAGAGCGACGCCGCTTCGATTGAGAGTGGCCGCAGCCTTACCCCGCCGACGCAGTCGCCCAGCCACGCCTCTCAATCAGCGGCTATGGCTCCAGAAACGGAGAAGCCGATTCTGCCCGGGTAAGGTCCCTGCCGGCGTATATCTACATCGCCTCCCTCGACAACACCCTCAAGCTGTGGAACACGGCGACGGGCAGGTGCATCCGCACCACATTCGGCCACGTCGAGGGCATCTGAAGTCTGACGGGCGACTCGCTGCACCAGGCATCGGGGAGCCAGGACAGCAGCATCAAGATCTGGGAGCCCAAGCCAGGCGCTTGTCAGACGACGTATAGGGGCCACCCTGGCCCGGTATCGGCGGTCATATTTGACGACACGAAGTTCGTGTCCGCGGGCGAGGATGGAAACTTTATCGTGAGGTCGTTCGAGGCGGACGGGCTGCTAGCTGCCTGCGGGGAGTTGTCCGTCGACGCCGCCTGATAGTGAGGGCGTTAAAATGTTTCCCACGAATGTGTTCATAATGGGGTTTTGGGTGTGGAGATGTATTATATTCGTCATATAGCATATACCGGGGCGTTCAAAGCGCGACAGGTGTTTCCTGGAATAAATGAGGTCAACCTTTTCATGACTTAAAGCTTGACTGTGTGTGATACTGCAATGGTGTTTTGCGCTCACGATCATAACTAGAGGTTCATCGGTGTCCCATCAGGTTGCCACGTCAGGTGACTGTGTAGCCCGAGCTCAAAGTCCGCTCAAGTGGTAGCAACTCTCTTTTGAAGCCGTATCCGCGAGGGTAGGCGTGTGGCCCGTTCAGGGCATGGCATCATACACAAAGGTGGGGAGAGCAACGCCACATTCGACAGTTCGCGGTCTCGGGGGGGCAGAGGGCCTCAAATATAACCCTATCTATTAAGGAGTCTTATTCGACGAGTGAAGGGATCACTACTAATCTCTTAGAGGTCGCTAAGAAGAAAGAGTAATTAATACCCTTCTCTAAATCCTAATCTATGAACTTTTCTTATAATTATTCCTAAATTACGCTTAGTCCCCTCTACTTACGTCTTATAATTAAATAATAAGCGATCCTTTAATACCTTAATAACCTATTTAGGCTTTAATATAATACCCTAAGTCTTTATTTCCTTTATCCTAAAGTCTAATTTAATTAAAGAATTAAAAACTATTTATTAAATATTAGTTAATTCTCCTTTAAAATACTTAATATTATTTAATTTAAAGATATTTATATATTCTAAGTATTTATTTAATTCTAAAATATCTATATAAGTTTTTTTTATCTATTAATTAGGGTATTTTAATTGATAATAATAATCTAATAATATATATAATAAGTAAGTAGGCTACCCGACTATAATTATATAATAAGAACTTTATTCTAGTTAACTAGAACGACTTAAATTAATTAAAACTACTTAGAATACTCTTTTCTAGATATCTCTATCTCTATCTAATAAGGTTATATATTATATTTAAGCTTATTATAAATACTATATTACTATTTCTACGTTTTAACCTTTAATTTAAGTTTACTATTTTAATAAATTCCCTCTTTTACTTATATATTAACTTTAATTTTAGCTTATAGCCTTTATCTTTAATTTAAAATAAATCTCCCTCTTTATCTAAAATATATTTTCTTAACTCTAAAATATTTACTTAAAGTTATATTCTCCTCTTAAAGGATAAGAATTTCTAATATTATAAAGGCTATTTTATATATAATACTATATACCCTTTTTATAAAGTATTCGATAGATTTAATAATGAATATTAAAAAGCTTCTTTAATATTTAATAATTCGACTTTTAATTAAATTATATTATAAAATTACTTTAATTAAGTTATTAAATATTTCGGAGACTTAAAGTATTAATATTATGAAATCCTCTTTAATAAATATTAATATCTATAACTTTATATTTAGCTTTAAAATAATATTTTCTAAGTTTATTAGAATAAGCTTAGCCCTTTTAAATCCTCTTTTAATATTTTTCTTTATTATAAATTCTTTAAAAGTTATAAAAAATAAAGAAAAGAAGTCTTTTTTAATAATATAATTTATATTTATCTATATCGTTTTTTTAATTTATTAATTATAAGCTTTCTTAAATAAACTAAAATAATTAATATTAAAAGGTTTAAGTAATATAATAAATAAAGAGGGATATAGAATATAATAATATTATTTTCTTTATAGAATAATATAGATATATAGTAAGTAATCTAATATAGTAAATAGTCTATATAACCTTTATTCTATAGATCTAGGCTATTATAATTATATAATAATATATTAAATTAAAATAAAAACTATTTATTACTATTTAAGGATAATAGGTATAATAACTAAGGAAGTAGGGTAGCTACGAGCTAATAACCCTACGATTAGGGGATACGATAAAATAAGAAGCGGACCTACTAAGTAGAGTATATTATAACTTACTTAAATATAATAATAAACTAAGGGCTAGCTTATAGAATAATATACTATAATCTTAATATTATAAATTATTAACGATTAATAAGTAAACTATCTAATATAAACTTACTTCTTAATAATAAAGAGAGGATAAATAGGTATAAAAGGATAGATATTCTTTTATTTATATATATACTCTTTCTTATAATAGTAATTATAGGGAGTAAGGGTTCTATAACCCCTCTAGTAGCTGAAATAAAGGCTAAACTATATCGATATATATATTATTAGAAAGAGAAAAGGCGGGGCTATAGAAAAGTATACTTTTTATATTATTTTATAGAGCTATCCTATAGTAATAAGCCGTTAACTTCTCTTATCTATAATTAGCTTAGCTTTTAAGCTAGATAAAACCGACTCTACTTCCCTATAGGTCCGAAGGTAGTCTAAGCGCCCCGTCTAGGCAGTAATTCAGAGGGTTAGTCTATTATATATAGATCTAATCCCCTAGACTTATTTTCTAGTTTT